TTGTTATCTGGGTGTGTTGTGTTTGCTTGTATACATTTGTTATCTGGGTGTGTTGTGTTTGCTTGTATACATTTGTTATCTGGGTGTGTTGTGTTCAGGGGAAGATAGTGCGATGGCGCACTACACTGCCGTCCACACGCACACACACACACACACACACACACACACACACACCCACACACACAGAGAGAGAGAGAGAGCTGTCCAGTGCATGTCTCACACTAATGAACAAGCACAATAGAGAGATAGGCTGGCAAGTGGGAAGAAGGGATTAGGTGATTCCTGCGGAGATATGTGATCAGTGCCCAACCCTAAAGAATTCCCATCAGGGAAAGGTTTTCTGTCTTCTTTCTTTTCTGGAATATGGAGAATAATTCCCCACTCACATATTCTCTCCCTCCCCCCCTTCCTGTTTCTTTTCTGCAATTTGGAGAACAATTCCCCATTCTCATTCTCTCTTTCCTTGTCCCCATTTCCCCTCACCCCTTCTGTTTGATTTGTTCCCTTTCAATAGGGAGAACAATTCCGCACTCTCTCTCTCTCTCTCTCTCTTTCACTCCCCCATAAAGCAACGGAAGCATTGCAGCCTATCAGTCCGTAGCCTGGCAATATATATCTAGGTCGCATGCACACAGTATGATATGCTGACATGCGTGCGTAGCAGACCATGGGGTGGGGTTGAACAGTCATTGTAATACCAAGGTTTTGCTTTGTGGTTGTTAAGAAAGTCAATGAAAGCATCACTTGTATGGAGCCTTGGCCTTCAGATTCCCCACTTCTCTCTCTCCTCTGGTTTTGGGCATTAAATGTCGTCATGGGATTCTTACAAGGTTGAATATTTGCGGATTATTGCAGGCTGGTTATGTCGGTGAAGATGTGGAATCTATTCTTTATAAGCTTTTGCAGGTGAGATGTTGTTTTGTTCTGTTACCTCATGCCGAAGACCTCTCCTTCATTCCTTGGTGCACTGCAATATATAACCATTTGGCAACATGTTCTGTGAGGACCGTCCTTTCTTCTCATGGTCTTCTAGGTTGTTAAGATAACCAAATTGTTAGTTCGGGTCCCCTTCCCGGCCTTCCCCCCGTCCGCAACTTTGAAACCAAAAAAAAAAGCTGAAAAGAATATAGACCTTTTACTAAATTTAACAAAAATAGCAGGGTTGTCAGGTCCGTCCCACAGCTTTACCAGACCTGTGCGGAGTTCAATCACTGAAGAGCATCAGATCTGAGCTTTGGATCGGCTTGTTGTTGCATTGCTTGATTCTTCTCTTGGGGACGCTTGCTTCATGAAGCACATGTTTTCGTTCGTCATCTCTTTCTGGCTGTTGTTTTATTGTTCTGATTTTTGGAAGTTTTGAAGTTTATGTTTGTGTTTTTGGTTTTGTCCTGCTGTCTTTAACTCTTATGTTTGTTTTAGTCCGTCTTCTCTCTCTCTCTCTCTCTCTCTCTCTCTCGCGTGCGCGCGCGCGCGCGCACGCGCCCCCCCCCCCCCCCCCCCCCCCCCTTCTGGTTCTTTTGTTCTGACTTTGGGGATGTGGTTTTTGGAGTCTATGTTTGGGTTTTTGGTTTTGTCCTGTGTCTTCAGGTCTATGTCTAGGGACGTCAACTCTCTCTCTCTCTCTCTCTCTCTCTCTCTCTCTCTCTCTCCCCCCCCCCCCCCCNCTCTCTCTCTCTCTCTCTCTCTCTCTCTCTCTCTCTCTCTCCCCCCCCCCTCCCTGTCTCTCGCCCACTGTTATTTTGTTATTATGATTTCGGGGACATCTGGTTTTTGAAGTTTACGTTTAGGTTTCCAGTTTTTTCTTGCTGTCTGTGTTTGTCTGTGGACAACATGCAATGTACTTGTTTTCTCGATGAATGGTTCACACCTGGAATTGGCAATGAAGAGGGGATGATTTCCAACTCCAAGCCCTGCCAAATGCAGACGATGCGAGGGGCTATGATTCCATTGGAAACGGGAAAAATACAAATAACGGAAGCAAGCTTTGAGGGGGTTGTGTTGAAACTTAAGCTCTGTGCAATGGTGTTTCTAGCTTTGTGGAGTGTTGTCTCATAAACTTTCTGGCCTTAGAAATCAATGGACGGATGTATTTGGTCTTTGTTTATATACAAATCTGTCAAGTTAAATGAGCCTGCTTGATCTGTGTACTTGCTCTGAAGTCATGAAGAGCTTGTATCGTATGGGGACCGTTATGCGCACACGAGAGCAGGATGCATCTGACAGGACAGTTCGTATTGTAAGAGTGCTTTTTTTTATCTTCTTCTATGGATGCACAAGAGGTGACTGTCTGGTGAAGCTGATCATGTTTGGACCAACCGAAGGAATCGTCACTGTCAAAGTTTGGGAATTTAACACAGGTTTTCCTTGGATTACCATGCAGGCTGCTAATTTCAATGTGAATATGGCACAGCAAGGCATTGTGTACATAGATGAAGTAGACAAGATCACCAAGAAGGTGAGTGTTGTAATGGAAAAAAACGTATTTCTTTCCGATCTGTTTTTTGGGTCTCGTGTGGTAATGGGAACAAGAGCAGTGTTTTCGGCTTTTCGGGTCTATTTCTGTCAGCTGAGATTTGGCCATGGATGCACACGACTTCAACCATCAGTGTGTTCGTAGCCTTGCAAACATAATGGCCCGCCTGTGGCCTGTTCGCTAGGGGTACTCCATGGGGACAGCACCAGTGTTGTCACGCGGGTAGCCCCGCGGCCCATGCCGGGGTAGCCATTTCACACCCAGACCCCCGCCGCGGGGCTACCTGACCCCCGCTCCCGCTAAAACACCCCCACCCCTGCCCCGCCACCCGCGCTCCCAGCCCACACACCCATCCCCGCACCCTGCACCCTCACCCCCGCTACCCCCGCCCCTGCACCTTTGCCCCTGTCCGCACCCCTGTGCCCACCCCTGCCCCGCATTTCACCCCCGCGCCGGCCGGGGCTTCGGCGTCGCATTTTTTGCGGCGGGCGACCAGGACTCAGAGTGGGTTCTTAGGTGTGGGGGGGAATTTGGGGGACCGGTCCTTGGCAAAATTGCGGACTACCTACAGCTAGCTCTGGTAGAACCGGGACTTTTGGAAAAAGGGAGGACCGGTCCCCGGGTGGAAGCGGACCCCAAAAAGAAGTGGGGGGCATTGGACTGGTCCTCGGGTGGAAGCGGACCCCAAAAAGAAGTGGGGGGCATTGGACCAGTCCTCGGGTGGAAGCGGACCCCAAAAAGAAGTGAGGGCATGTGAATTGCAAAGGGGCCCTCAAGCCCCAGGCGTTGAGGCCCGTCTTCTCAAAACAGGGAGGTCAGGCACAAGTAAACAGGCGTTTTGCTAGAGGCAAGCAATTTTCTGTGCTCGGAGGAACCCGCAGAAAAATCTGAAATTTTGAGACTCCATAGATGAGGTCGTGTTCTTTCCAGGAAAAATATTAGAACATTTTCAAAACATCATTTAGACCGTGAAATAATCGTTGCGCGGATTTGGCACATTTTCCATTTTTGCCACTCAGCCATGTGTGGGCCAACTGAAAAAGTACTCCAAATTCAGTGAGTTTTCGTGCTCAGAAGAATGCGTGAAAAAACCTGAAAATTGGAGTACTCATAGATTTTGTTGTGATCTTTCCAGAAAAAATACTAAATTAAAAAAAAAAAATTCCAACTGTGAAATAGATCACGGCTGCAAGTTGACCCATATTTCAATTTTGCCATTTAGCCTCTCTCTCTCTCTCTCTCTCTCTCTCTCTCTCTCTCTCTCTCTCTCTCTCTCTCTCTCTCTTGTGTGCACTCTTAGTCTCATTGCTTTGGCTACCTTAGGGCTGCGTTCCCCGCGCCCACGTGGTAGACAATTTTACATAGTAAGTTGCTTAGCAGATGTACAATCAGGGCCTGAAGATGATGCCACGGGGTGCACCGAATTCCCGGGTACCCCAACTGTGGCGACTTTTAATTCTCATTTCCATCGACGAAAACAATTGAAAAAGTTGGGGATGTAGGATTGTGGATGATTTCGGAAAATATTATTGCCTGCTTGCGACCAATTTCGAAGATTTTGATTTTTTTGTGTTCTCCTAAAGATGTCCTGCCTGCTTGCAGTCAATTTCACAAAATTCGTAAAAAAAAAACATCTCTGTCAAACTCGATTTCTGCTTCACACTGGCATGTGGGATTTGGGTGAGGTAGGCCATTGGGATACCAATGGGGAAGAGGCCCACTGCTAGCCTGCATCTCGAGTTCAAAAGCGGACTGGAGAAGACTTGGCTGCGGGCTGAGGTTTGTGAACAATGCATCCATTTGTGGAGCGTATAATCCAAAGCGGAAAGGCGCAAGGGAGGAAGCCTCGAGAGGATTGTCACGAGGTTTGAGAGGGCCTATGATCAAGCACTAACGTTGAAGGACCACAGAGAAGGGCAGTGGGTGTTCTTGGGATGCAGATGGAGTATTCTGCAGCAATGCCTGTACCTTGCAACAGTTCAGCTGATGAAGAATGAAGCACAGTTGAGGAACGGGTGTGAACTCCCGTTCTGGGCCTTTCAGGAATCTCCCGTTCTGGGCCTTTCAGGAATTAGGTTGGGGACATGCAGGAGAGCGAAGCTTGCTGTCATCATCAGTGCAGTGTATGGTATTCAGCAGAATTCGAGTGACGAGTTGAAAATGGGATTAAGGAAGAAAGGCTATCCAGAACAGATGTTCGGTTTTGATGATGAAGTGTGATAGGTATATTATCATTTTGTGATATGAATCATATAAATTAGGCAGTAATTTGAGAAGGGACCAGGCAAGGCCCTGTGGTTTTGACGTAATACTTGGGATCGAATGGCATTCCAGAAGGTAGGACGAGACCCTGTAGCGATGGAGCAATGAGCTTGTTTGACTGGAGGGATTCAAATGTAGTACCTAGGGAATGGAACTTTGCATATTGCTGGGTCTGGAGCCCTAGAAGTTCGCAATCAAGTAGTGGAGCATGGCCTGGGACCTCTTGTTTCGAAGAGTGGTGAACGTGGGTGACCTCCAGAAAACTTTGCCGGTGGCAGTGCCAACAACCGAGGATGTAAGCAGGGCCAGCGGCCTAGCTCAGCTGGTTGAGCATGCAAGTGGTGTTTAGGAGGTCGTGGGCTCAATTCCCCACATCCATTCCCCCCCCCACGGCCTCAGAGTACTTCGGGCTTGGCACCTGAGATAGATGGCTCCCCCTGCCGCCCCCCCCCCCGTCTTGTTAAGGGGAAAGGTTTGCAGTACCGTCTAACCCACTGAGGAGTTCCAAGGCAGTGGATGAAATGCTTCGGGGTGTTGTATCTGTTTTGTGTTAACTGCTATGTGTTTCTCACAGTACCGTCTAACGGATGCTGTCGGTTGATCGCTGTGTATGCCATCGCATGGAACACATTTGCTATTTATCTGCTGTATTTTGGTAAAACATCAGAAAAACTCGGCCTTGAAAAACTATTTGTGCCAACGGAATGCATATGTAGATCCCACTTGCCTTGAACTGGTAGGCTTGATGTCTCAGGCTGTGCAGGCCATGACTGGTTGTTTTTAAGGTCTGACAAACGACGATGGTTGGAGTGCTGAGCTTGTGCACTACCCGGTAATCCAGAAGCTGTGCTGAGTGGGAGGACTGTCGAAGGACTGGCCAGAGTGGCCAGGGTACAACCAGGCCTGGCAGCCCCTGTAGAAGGTCTTGAGCTCTGTTGATGGAGCCAGCTAGCTGAACTATATTCATGGCTCAATTACGATGCCTAGTCAGGGTTGAGATTGTGGATTTACTCAGGAAGCGTCCTCCAAAAAATAATAGTCTTGAGTTGGACAAGAAACAGGGTACTCTCTTGTTGTGAACTTTGTATACTTGTGATAACTAAAGGTCAACAAACAATAATCGGGACGTATGACCCTCTGGACAATTGGCCTTTCAGTCTTGACTTGTGGGCTCATCACTCGCTTTTGACGTCAGTTGGAACTGTCTAATGATGTTGCTGGAAACTTTCTGACATGCACTTGTTGAGGAGTTCGTGGAAATTTTCTGATGATCCTAGTGGAGTGTTGATGGCTATGTGTAACACAATTGGCCCAATGATGTTAATTTGGTGTCTCAGCATTGTTCTTTGGATGTAGCGAGGGAACAACAACTAGGGATCTGAGAACTGTGTGTCTTCATTTTATTGCTTTTTGTTAAAATATGGGGTGAGTATCAAGTTGTTGGGCATTAGAGGGTTGTTTGATGGTGTGGTATGGTGGGGACCTGGCCTTTGGCGGAGGTGTCAGACACCTTTTTGGGCGGTCAAGTCTGCACATTTGCTGGCCAGTATCACTTTGCACGTGGGAGCGTTTTATTAGGTTCTAGTCGTTCTTATGTTTATTTTTTAGCATTTAATTTGTCTGCTTTTGCATGGCTTTTTTTTTTTTTTTTTCACTGTTATGTTACTTGTGCAGAGACTTTGCGCACTCTGATTTTGTCCATATCCGGACAGACACTTTTGTCCTAGTTTGCGCTGTTTGTGTAGCGCCTGTGTGGCCGGTGTCGTTGTTGGCCTGGGGAGATTTATTTTTGCATCAGGATTGAAGCATTTTTGTGCCGCGTGCACTTTTGCGGTCAGTTTTGGGGCACAGAGGGTTTAGTCCACACCTGCAGACTTTGGACCTGGTCCAAAGGAAGCTGCTGATGCCGTGAGGCACCAAGGCCTGGGAGCCTAGGTCCAGACCGAGTATGTGAGCGGTCCTTGTTGCAGGATACTTTTGATCCAGAGCTGCAAGGACTGTTTGGACTCTTGACAGGAGTCTGTGTGTATGGTTCAGAAAGCCCATAAGGGGGCTAGAGGGGGGTCAGGCTGAGGTGCAGCACTGTATATTCACGAGCTGGGCCAGGACCAGACACATTGTGCACTAGGTGCTGTTAGGCTGCCGGAGAGCAGCGCTGGGTGAGGGTAGGAGCCAGGTGTAGAGTGTAGGCTGAGCACTGAGTTGTGGGTGACTGCAGGGTTCCAGAGGAGAAAAGGGGGTACTCACCTGCTGGCGCCATACTAGAGCTACCACTTGAAGCTGAAGTGCGACTTGTATACCTGCATGGCACGAGCAGCTCGAGATGCCATGTGTTGTTGGTTAGTATGCCCACAGAGAGAGAGAGGGAGAGAGAGAGAGAGAGAGCTCTGTTTATGGTATGATACTTTTGGAGAGCGCTGCTTTAACGCTGTGGTTGGGAAAATGTCGGAAAATTTGAAAAACATTGGCCTGTTGGAAAACATGCACTGAATGGGTATGGTTGTCTGTCCCTCCTTGGACCTGGTAGGCCCATCGAAAAAGAAATGGCCTGTTGGAAGAAGACATGCACTGAATGCCTCAATGTATACTGTTGTCTGACCTTCCTGCACCTGGAGGGCTGAATGGTATGGGCTCAGAAGGGCAGGATTGGTTATTTCATATTTGAATCAATAACCCTTCAGCCTTGAATGTCAAACAAGAGAAGGTGGCTTCAGCTTGTGTCGATAGATCAGATTCCAAGTGTGTGCTTGAGTAGAAAACAAATGCGGGTGCTGCTGTCAGATCGCCTGACAAGAAGTGCAAGTTGTACGGTACATGAGCGTTTTTACTACTGATAGCCAAGAGTTGAGCACAAGCGAATATTTCATTGATAATGAGAAGGTTTGCAGAACTGCCGTAGGCAGGGAGGCACACCAACACAGCCAGGAACTGAAGAGTGGCAGTTGTGAATCAATGACAGAGGGTGTGCCTTCTCGACATCCGGATTTGTGGAAGTGCTGGCCCAAGCTTGAAAGTTTGGTGAGAGATCAAAATGCTGAAGATACTGTTGTTTTAATCATCACCACAAGCGGTTAACGGGTAGCTGAAAGTTCAGGAATGAAAATTTTGAAGTGAGAGTTTTGGGCAGTCTGAAAATCCTGAATGGTCCTGAAGCGGTGAAAGGTCCGAAGACCCTGAAAACCACCTGTTTAGGCAGGCTGCACCCTGAAGTGGTGAAGTGAGAGTTTTGGGCAGTCTGAAAATCCTGAATGGTCCTGAAGCGGTGAAAGGTCCGAAGACCTTGAAAACCACCTGGCAGGCTGCATCCTGAAGTGGTGAAGGGTGTCCTGAAGTGGTGACAGGTCTGAAGACCCTGAAAACCACCTGTTTAGGCAGGCTGCATCCTGAAGTGGTGAAGGGTGCCTTGAAGTGGTGATGAAAAATAGGACTGTTGTTAACCTTCTCTCGCAGACGCTTAATGGTCGGATGACTTCGCTGCCATCCATTTGTTAAGAGGACTGCTATCCTTTTTTGTATTGTATGCACCCATTGCATCGTGACAGACCATTTGAACTTCTCTAGCGAGGGGGACTACACTTGACTGCATGCTCACCTGTGATGACCCCTGGTGAGGGGTGTACGAAGCATTCCACTTCCTCATTCATTCTTGATCTTGAATATTTTGAATTACCATGGGGGTTGGGCAGCTGATTGTGGTTCCACATTCTTGATATGAACAGCAGTGCATTTGCCGATGATCCTGGGTGTGACACATATCTCTTGTGTTAATTGTGAGCCCTCGATTGGCCGTGGTTGTGATGATATTTGCAGGCTGAGAGTGTGAGTATTACGAGGGATGTTTCAGGCGAAGGTGTACAACAAGCACTGCTGAAAATGCTCGAGGGGACGGTATGATCACTGTCCTGTTGCCCACATTTTTATCCGCTTCACATTTCCCTTTTTCACCCCCTATGAGCAAGGAAGGGGGGGGAGAGAGACCCCTCCTGATCTCTCCCTATGTTTGCTAGACCTCCTCTCTTCCCCCACCCCAAAACCAGCCTTCTGTTGTTTCCCCGGCTTACCCTGCACTGCGCTGGACCATGACGTCCGCTAACCTCCCATTCCTGCCACTGTCTCATGCTTCCCTGAAGAACGCCTCTGCGCCATGTGAACATTGTTAGCTGGGAGGGGTGGAGGGGGCAGCAGAGGCACACACGTACCTTTTTTCGTTTCACGGATGGTTTATGATGATTTGTGGATGGAATTATATATATATATTTTGTGTGTGTGTGAGAGAGAGAGAGAGAGAGAGAGAGAGAGAGAGAGAGATCTGGGATATTTTCCAGCATTCTCTCCACCAGTTCCCTCTCCTCCTCTGCCGAACATCNAGAGAGAGAGAGAGAGAGATCTGGGATATTTTCCAGCATTCTCTCCACCAGTTCCCTCTCCTCCTCTGCCGAACATCCTTTCCCCTTCTGTCTCACTTTTTTTGGAGAAACTTCTTTAGTGGGTGAAGCTGCAACAGGTCATCTACAAGGAGAAATAAGTCGAGATTTATTATGGATTATGGGAATGCAGCAGCAAATGATGGGCCAGTTTGTGATGCTTTTCGTGTGTTTTTCTGACTTTTTGCTCTGCTTTTTTTGCGGGCGAAGCTGTTGCTGGTCGTCTGATGCTTGTTACGGCGAAAGAAGTCAAATACAGTGGAGCGGTGTTGATTTCACAGCTGAATGTACCAGCAATAGATGGTATGATTCTGTTGAGAGGTGCCTGGAAAATATGAAGCACATTTGGGAAAAACTGTCGAATTATAGTTGTGCTGAGCTGCATGACGGTGAAGAAGTCAACAGACGACAGTAGTCTTGATTGCCCAGTGGAAATATTGGGGCAATAGCTGGGATGGTCCTCGCAAGGTGCTCGTGAAATGTTTGTTTGAGTGTAGACGAAACTGTGCAATTGGTCTGTGCAATTGGTCTGTTTAGGTGGATAGGGACCTTTTAGATCCCATTTGGTTCCCTTTATGATGATGGCAAAAAGGTATTATGACTCCAATTGTGGAAGCTCTTGTGGGTCTGAGGTGGCGTCAATGTCGGCCATTGTTCGTTGCCCAGTAAAAAGAGCTCGTTGATAATACAGTACGCATAGATTGCAAATCTGAAAGGGGTTGCATTTTGCTGCCGCATTGGCAGCAGCAAAATACAGTAATGCACAATTGATCACCAGCAGAACCGGTGAAAGTACACCATTGATGGCCAGTGATTCATCTGAACTGACAGTTTCGCATCACATTCATATTTTTGGTCATTGCTTGGCCGCGTTTTGTGCAGCTTGCTCTGTTTGATGTTTACCGTGGCCTCAATAGCATGAGATGCTGCAGTTACTCTTCATCCTCCATGTACATTCTGCATCTGCCCTCTTACTGCCATTGGATGTTGATCCTTTTCCCTCCTGTCCTTCTCAGTTGTTTGGTTGCTTCGTCTCCCAATTTAATGTTCTCAATGTGCACTTAATAAGCACACCCTCTAGAAATCGATGCTGGCGCCTCGTTTACCTCACTAGTCCTATTTCCCAATCCAAGGGATGGTTGAAAGACACACCTGAAATCAGTTTTTTATTACATGTGAGAGCACGTTCCTATGCTGCTGCGAGTGCGGCTTCGCATTCACCCATCTTTGGACATGGGTTGCAGGGCTTCCTACCACCGTATGCTTGTCATGTGTCTGTTGTTTTGAGCATGGAGCATGAGGATGATGGCAGAAAGAAGTCAACGAGGCCCCTCAGGAAATTGAGAGCTGAAGTGGCAATTAATCTTGCCGCTGTGCCTGTGAAAGTGTTTGTAGCTAATGCTTATTTGTTGGCCGTATGACACTGGGAGCTAGCAGTGCCCGAAAATCGGTGGTTTATTCCATATGAGAGCACCTTCCCATACTGCTAGCGGTGCGGGTTTGGATTCCTCCATCTTTCAAGATGGGGTGGAAAGGTTCCATGTTTGTCATACGTCTCTTGTTTGAAACATGAAGCATGATGATGCTGATGATGACGACAGCAGGAAGGCAATGAGTACGTCTCTTGTTTGAAACATGAAGCATGATGATGCTGATGATGACGACAGCAGGAAGGCAATGAGGCTCCCCAGGAAACTGAGAGCCCAAGTGACAATCATTCTTCTTGCCACTGTCTAGTGGAGTGCTTGAATTAAACTGCCAGGCGTGGGGCTGCCTGCGCTCAGTTAAATTGATCCAGGAACTCGTGCTGGTTAACTTGCTGCCCCTTGCGCATGGGATGGCGGCTCAAGATTAGCTGTGCTTGTCTGACGGCAGGGTGACGTTGGGAGCTAGCAAGGGGGTGTTCTGAAGTGTGACCAATTTATTAGACACCAAGCAACATAATCATTGAAAGAGACAGCTTCCATTACAATAGGCATAAAGGCATAAATTGGTACCACAAAGTTCACTACATTGACGGTGGTAAACTCCTCCTCGTTTAATAAAGATGGAAGTCTGATTTAAACGACCAGGTGCGCCCTCACATTTGACACCTAAGGAAGGTACTGCCCAAGCCATTGTGCTCTTTCTGAATGTCTGTTTATTGATGAAGCTTGTGCCTCGGAGCTAAATGGAGATGGGAGCAATAAATAAGGCAATGAGCCCAACAGGAAGTTGTCATTCGACCTGTGGAAGGCTTGGATTAAAATCAGCCATGCTCATCTGACGGCACTATGGTGGTCACTCGGATGTGTGGTGCAGTTTTGAAATGTCACCGCCCTTCAGAACAGGGTTTGCTTTGATTCTCGCATTGGGTGTGTGCTTATTGACGTAGCAACTGCTGTGGAGATGGACCATGTCAGTACTGAGAAAAATAATTTGACAATGAGCCCCCACAGGAGGTTGTCATTCAGCCTGTGGAGGGCTTCGATTAAAACATCCTGATGAACCACTGTGACAAGTGTGGCGGAATGAGAATGAGAGTAGGGGTGCGTCTTTCTCGGCACAGGGGTTGAATGGGCTTCGCCCGAGGTATATTGCATCTGCTCTGCCTCTGTGATCTTTACTCTCTGGAGTAACGTCTTAGGTTACAGCTGCTGTGCTACTTGATGCTCTGAGAACGTGATGAGGTGTAGCGGAACGGGAATGAGAGTAGGGGTGCGTCTCTTACTCTCTGGAGCAACATCTTAGGTTACAGATGCTGTGTCACGTGATGCCCAGAGAACGTGGCATGGTGTTCATGAAGGCAAGGAGAAACACATCACCAGCTGTTAAAACAGGAATTGTTTTGATTCTACTGTTTGATGCGTTTTATCAATACAGCAACTGCTGTGGAGATGGAGTGCCGATGATGACAAAACGAAAAAGACAATGAGCGCCCACAGGAAGTTGTCATTCAGCCTGTGGAGGACTTTGATGACAAGCAGCCATGCTAATCTGACGGCACATTGACGGTCAACTGAGATGTAGAGTAATAACAATGTGAGTAGGGAGATGCATATTTCTTGGCATGGAGGCGCAAGTGTACTTTGCCCGAAGTATGTTATGTGGTTTGTGTCCTATGTTTCAGCTACTGTGCTCCTGCCCTGAGAAGGTGGTGTGTTGCTTATAAACACGTAAGCACAAAAATGTGTCCTAGAGCAAAGTTCAGACCATTGTGCTTTGAGGTGGCAGTCGGAACTGCGATCTGGCTGTGAATGTGCAATCATCAGAACAGCACAAGGTTGTGTGAGACTGGTCAGCAGGATTGGAATGTTGTCTTCCCTATGTTTGTAGCGTAAGTGGATGCAAGTCTGCTTTGAGTGCGATTTGGCACTTTGTGTTGTCAAAATCACGATGACTCTTTCTGCTGCCAAGTGTAAGGAAGCTGGACTGTCAAGGTCATGTCGCACCCTTTTTGTTTAGGGGGGTGGGTTGGCAATGGAGTTGCCATCCTGCCAATGAAGAGGCTGGATTAAAGCATCACTTCTGAGCTTGCGGAATTGCAAGAGAATAACTAAATTGTAAAAGTCCAAGCGGGGGTGGCTTGGGATTGTAGCACATGCTCACAAGCAGAATAATGTCATTGGATTACTGCGGCTTTCCTTTGAAAGAAGCATTTATGATATGACTTCCTCGAGGAGGATGGAGTCAGACAAGTCCTGCGTTCATGGCTTAGTCATCAGAACGATTGCTTTTCTGCTCGCTACGAAGCTGATGGCGACTGTTACCTGAAATCTGTTTCTTGCTGCTCAGTTTCCTGAGCTCCTGAGGTATCTCTCAGTGGACTCAGGGAGAGGAGGCAGAGGCTACACTCAATTGACGAAGCCATTGAGCAATTCCTTTTTGTAATTTCTCTGTTTTTGAAAGTTTCCTTAAAAGCATAGCCTGATGGCCATAGCGCCTCCGATTCTTAGAAGAGGGAGCCCAACCTTTTAAACCACTAGTACCTCGCCCAGTGTTGGGAAATTAGGGAAAACTGGCAGTTTTCCCAAACTCCTGAAAATTCGCAGGCCGGGCCCGACGACGGCTGCCATTGATAAATCTGATCGGCGGCGGTCGTTTCGTTTCGGCCATCTGAAAAGGTCGGAGGCCCACCCGAGGCCCGCTATTTTCCCACGCGGCAAAGGTACTAGCTCAGCCATTTGGGATACATTGAAATAGATCCGGTTCTGTGTGTTCGCGTCCTGTGGTTACTGCTGTGTCTTCCCTTCTGCGGTTAGTGCGTCTCATTGCTGTGTCCCGTTCTCACAGAAGCAACTCCTGACTGCTAGACTACTACTTCAGTTGCCCTCTTAGTTTGTGTCCTCCTTTCGCTGTTGCCCCCATCAGGACCACCTTCCAGGGCTTGCCCAAAGGACCACCCAGTGATTTCTGGTCTCCTCTGACGTATTTTGGGCTTGTGAAGAAGAAGAAGACATTCCCATACCTCATCACTGGCCTTATATCCCTCTCTCAGAGTTTACTCACCATCATGAGGTGTTTGCGACTTGCATGTTTTGGCTTGTTGATGTCTACCTGGTGTGTTATTATCAGGTTGTTAATGTGCCAGAGAAGGGCGGGAGGAAGAATCCGCGCGGAGATTTCATTCAGGTCAGGAAGTTTTTTCTGTGATTTCACAGCTAGCTCCAAAACTTAGAGGAATCTCTTGTCAAGTTTTGAATAATGCCTTCATGAATGATTGGTAGGGTGTTCAAGGCAAACCTGAGTGTGTGAGATGATTAGCAGGGAATTGCTCTTTTTCAGCCAGCCTTGGCTCTAGGCAGGTGTGCATCTTCAAGGCACAACCTCCTTGGCCTTGGCTTTAGGCTTACATACTACCACTTTAAATTTAGTAAAAGGTGCTTTAGATGCTCGTGGATCAAAACTCATGCCAGATAAAAAAGAATTCGGTTATAGTTTTCCATGCGATGGACCGGGAAGAGGTGGTACTTGTGATATTTCAGCTTGGGATGCTTTTTATCTAGCTGTATTTTAGATGCTAAATACGATATGAAAATGATTGGTAGGGCGTTCAAGGCAAACCTGAGAGTGTGAGGTGGTTAGCAGAGAATTGCTTTTTTTCAGCCAGCTGGGGTTCCAGGCAGGTGTGTATCTTCAAGGCACAGCCTCCTTGGTCTTATGAAATCTCATGCCCGCACCTTCAGATGACTGGATGAAGTGACATGTAGTTTGTAGCTGCTGTCACATCCTGCTTGGTAGAAAGGATCTTGTACATGACACCATTTATCGCTCACTTTGTTGGAGCATGGGGTCATCGTCCCTTTGATCTTGTTTTCTTCTCTGGGTATTCCCTGGTTTATGAGATATACGTACTTCGCCTCTGCTCCCCTCTTTCGACGAGTCCATGTGATTGTGAGCTGCCCGTCCGACAACTTACACATGCAAGGGTGTATCATCGTCTGCCACCAATTCCTATCTGTATATATAGGCTCATGTTCTCTCTGCTTGGTCCTGGCTGCACGGTGTCGACTTGTAACCTGTTGCCATTTCTGCTTTTCACTGGATGCCTAGAGAGAGGTCACCGAGCAGGGAGAGAGCTGTACACACAAACTCAGCACAGCAGGGTACCGAAGGGGAAAGAGTGACTTCTGTTGCCTGAACTGCAACTGGGCTTGGTGCATGACCAATTCCGGCAGTGCAAGTGAGTGGATAGCTTGAGAATGGACACAGGTGAAATGGAGAATGAGAGATCAGTGCTCAGCAACCTTGTTCCAAGTACCCATGGTTTTGAGTGAATGTTGAGCCCGAACAGACCCAGGCTCCATCAAGTGCTGGCTGTAGGGTTCGTACTTCAAAAGGGAGCTCTGGTGGCAAAACGAGTGAGACAATGGTAGAAAATGCTGGATACAGTGGATAGCAGGAATTTACCAGAAAGAGGCCCAGGGGCCTGAAAGCACTTAGGACCAAAACCGTTCAGGTGGCTGCTGCCCAATTGTGCTCCAGCGCTGAAGGGACCGGTGTTCAAGTCTTGGTGTATGCTGGACTCCTCTCTTTCTGTTTCTTTTGCCCATCACACGTCCTGACGTTGTTATGCAAGCTATTGCCCTTGGCCACATAGCTTCTTCTTCTCTCCCTGTCTGGTTGCTCCTCTTCACCTCATGCTGTTCATTGTTCATCTGAAACTTCCCAAGATGCGACAATGCCGTTTTTACCCTAGAGATCGTGCTTGACCTTTGTTTCTTTTTTACCCTGTCTTCATTCATGCTCAGGAAGTTCAGTGTAAATGTGTTCGCAGGGCTCATTGGTCTTATCGAGTGCTCTCATCTTTGTTTCGTCTCACTGGTCCCTTTCTCATGCAGGTGGATACGAGGGATATCTTGTTCATTTGTGGAGGGGCCTTTATTGACCTAGAGAAGACTATTGCTGAGAGGTATGTGAAAAGTGTGCAGTCGGGCTGCATTTTATTTGCTGTGTAACATTCACTTTTTTTCTGGTTTCGAAGTTTGCACACCAAGGTGATTGCAGCTTTATACTGAATGCGCTCTTTTAAGTACATGTAGGGTGTGGAGCTTATGCACTTTTCAGTCAAGTTCCGTTGCTGGAAGTGTCTATGTTACCTTCTGAGGCTCGTTGGCATTATGCCATGTCGTTGTCTTTACCTTCTGAGGGCTGTTGGTGTTATGCGATGTTAATTTTTGTTGCTAGAAGTCGTCTTGGAGGCCCTTGGGCAATTATGCGACGCACCTCTTTGTACATGCATGGGCCCCTTCAGTGCTCCATCTGAGCAGACGTATGTATGTACGGATTTGACGATGACAGAACACTCGTAGGGGCCTTGTCCACTAGAGCCCTGACCCAGTGTCTCTGGAGCTCCAGTTTTCTTGAACCAGTGTGGAGCATCTATTGGGAAGAGTCACACGGACATTGGGACAGCTGCTGGTTTATGAAAAATTGTGCAGGTCAGGAAGTTCGTGCCGGCATGGGAATTGAGAGTGCATGTAGCCAATGTGCTGTGCTACGAGTATTTTTGTTGCCAGCTATATCGATGATGGGCTGGGTGCTGGGTTGGTAGAGTGGAAAGAGGGAGGGGGCCAAAGCCAGGAACCGCGGAAGTGCCTAAGCAGGAAGAATTAATGAACATGATGGGAGGGGGCCAGAGCCAGGAGCTGCGTAAGTGCAAAAGCAGGAAGGTTGGAATCAATTAACATGATGGCTGACTGAAGATCTTGCTCTCCACGTGGCAGTCAGCCAGGCTTGCAGTACAATGAACAGGGGTGTAGGGTTTGATGACGGTGACAGTTATGGGCTGGCTAGAGAGATCCAAGAGGCTGGCTCCTCTAGTAATGTTCTGTTGAGCCTGATTTCTGAAGTTTTTTTAGCAATCTGCGGTGCGCATTTTGTGTGTGGAGGGCTGTATTTTCTGTGAGTGTGAAATGCTGTCATGTCCATGGGGAGGGGTAATTTGGTTAGTGCAAAATATTGTTTTGTGGATGTGGTGTGTTTTTTGAGCGATGGTCAATGATGGGTGGTGTATTTGGTGCGTGCAGTATATATTGTTATGTGCATGTTCTGTGTTTTCCAATAATGTCGGTGTACTATGTTGAGGTTGTGAAGTTGTTTCAACAGTGTGTTTCCCCTTGCTTTTGTGATGTGTGGTGGCTTGGTGTGCATGTGGAGGTGCGGTGGGTGGGGGTGTGTGGATTCAGGCTGGTGACCTCGGCGAAAAATGTGTACTTGTGATTGTCTGTGTGCAGGACGTCAAAATCGTCGATTGGATTCGGAGCCCCTGTTCGGGCAAACTTGTCAAGGAACAAAGTGTCGGACCCGGGTACGGTCTCGTCCTTACTTGGAATGGTGAGTAGCCTGGCCCTCTAGGTAAGGTATTGTTTTAGACATTTTCTCCAATAGAGATTGGTGGAAGATTGGTGGGAGCAGGATTTGAACCTTCAACATTCAGACTATGAGCCTGACCAGTTACCAATTACTCTTATCCTGGGCGCGTAGTATTAGTATGGCTCTTTTTTGCACAAAAAATTGATACGTCCAAACTTGAACCACGTCTCCCAAAATAAATCAGTACATATGGCGTAAGACGATTTCACGGATCGAGGTCGGAATGGGATGGGGTGTTTTCACGTCCTACAATAGTACCCGGATACTCGGAATTGTGCTTCGCGCCTTTGGTAACTAGTCTGATTAGATCGACATTAAATCAAATCTGGGTATGTATATTGGAATGGAGTCAATCCAGCAGCAGGTTCCCCTACGGCTACCTTGTTACGACTTCACCTCAGTCACAGATTCTACTGTGATAGTCTCTATGATCAATGATGCGAAAAACATGCTGCGCACTCGACGTGCGTAACATATCGAAGTCATTGGGTTATCATAGAGACGACTTCGGGCAAAAGAAATTCCCATGGTGTGATGGGCGGTGTGTACAAGGCCTGAGTACATATTCAACGCGGCATGCTGATCCGCGATTACTAGCGATTCCGACTTCATGTTCTCGAGTTGCAGAGAACAATCCGAACTGAGGCAATGTTTCAAGATTCGCTCCGTCTTAAAGCCTTGCTTCCTATTGTCATTGCCATCGTAGCACCTGTGTAGCCCAGCCCATAAGGGCCATGCGGACTTGACGTCATCCCCACCTTCCTTCAGTATATCACTGGCAGTTTTTTGTGAGTGCAGCACATCGTTGTGATGTCTTAGCAACACAAAACGCGGGTTGCGCTCGTTATAGGACTTGACCCAACATCTCATGGCACGAGCTGACGACAGGCATGCAGCACCTGTATGAAGTCAAAAGTACATCTCTTATGGGGAGTTTCTTTCATATGTCAAGGGCTGGTAAAGTTTTACGCGTTGGCAAGTCTGGAGAGAGAGAGCGAGAGAGAGAGAGAGAGAGGGGGGGGGGGGAGGAAACTAACCTCACTGGAGGACATTGTGCCAAACAGAGCAGCTGAGGCCCTTGCCTCGCCTTCCCCTCCTCTCCTCCTCTAGCTGTACAAAATCAGTCACAGATTACATGCCAGTCACTTCATTCCTAGCATAGAGTTGTTTGGCTGAATGGATGTTTCGTCTTAGCTACATTTCCTTCTGTGAGTGCTTTTGGCTTGGCTTTTTCGGAGCATGTCCGTGCATGCTATTCTTGCTGCTTTGTGTGCTATGGGCTTTGCTAAGGACACAGTGGGGTTCTTTCTTTTCTCCCCTCTTGCAGGTTGAGAGCAGTGACCTGATTGCGTATGGGTTGATTCCAGAATTTATTGGAAGATTTCCCATTCTTGTCAGTTTGGCAGCACTGAACGAGGACCAACTTGTCCAGGTGAGATTCTGCTGTGCCAATACGATGTATTGCCCCTAAGCAACAGCCACATGTTCGTTTGCACTGTTCTGTTCAAAAATGGTCATGCAGTATGAGCTACGGGAGAGGTCTTCAGTGGCTACGATGGTGACTAGTATCCACTGGAAGGTGATGTCCTAGTAACCCCCCACAGCAATATGGAAAACACGTGTTCTTAGCTTGCTCGGGCGACCCGAGCAAGGACAATCAGAAGACACTCAGAAGAAAAGCATGAATTGCTGAGGAAGCGGCAGTTCGGTTGAGCTTCAAACTGCCCTGGCACCAGGCTGGCCATGATGATCATCATCCAGCAGGGGCTCATGGTTTCTCGTGCAGCCATTTGCTGAATCTACTTTTCCTGCCCTTCCCCTGATGTGTTGAGGTGGGCATTGCACTGTGTGTGGCCCGAATGGATTTCGTGCAAGCTCCCCTGAAGCTCTCTCTCTCTCTCTCTCTCTCTCTCTCTCTCTCTCTCTCTCTCTCTCTCTCTCCTCCCCTTTCTCCTGGGCGCACCGAGAGAGAGAGAGAGGAGTGAGAGAAATATGTTATTATGCTCCATTTTGTGTGCATCGATATCTAATGCCCTGAGAAGAGGAGGGGGCTCTCTCGCTGTCTCTGGTATTACTGCTTTTCACACCTAATGCCCTGAGAAGAGGAGGGAGGGACTCTCTCTCTGTCTCTGGTATTACTTCTTTTCACTTTATTTCGCCAAATAGAGCCTTGTCATGATTGAGCTCTCCCCCGCCCCAATCGTTAAGGTCATTTGCGGCTCTTTAGGCCCTGTATGTTCCTTCTGGATCTTCCAGTTAAGACATCCCAAATCCAAAGTTAAGGCCAGATGCTGACTACAGAGATCGAGTGCAGGTCTGCCCTGCTGCTGCACTTTTTACTAAGTTTTTAGTTTATTTTTTGCTTGGATCGTGTTTTGCCTGCTGGGTTCGGTCTGGTCGGAGGGCCGTGGAGGGATGCCGGCCGGGAGAGTAGTTGGGGTTACTGCTGGGGTTTGTTAGTGCATGGTGGTCGTGGCTACTGGCAGGGGTAGTTCAGTACGTGTTTGTATATTTCAATGGTATTTGGGGGTGTCTGAGGTGTACAGCCACATTGGAGGCTAGGAAAGACATGCTGCACCTATTGCAGCGCTGTGACCTCTGTGTGTGTGTGTGTGTGTGTGTGTGTGTGTGTGAGAGAGAGAGAGAGAGAGAGAGAGAGATGGTTGATGCTTGCAGGCAGCCATAACTGCTAAGAAAGAAGACTCTGCGGTATATAGGTTCGAGTTTGTAAACACAAGTGTCTCATTGAGTGTGAATCATGCTTCTTCATGCCAAGCTTGGGGTGAGATTGCATGCATGTGGACAAAGTAAAGTGTCTCATTGAGTGTGAATCATGCTTCTTCATGTCAAGCTTGGGGTGAGATTGCATGCATGTGGACAAAGTAAAGGCCAGGCTCATTGCAAGTGAATTGAATGGCCAGTTCTGGTTTGCAAAGAGCATTTGGCATCTGGACTTCAAATTCTTTGGAATGTATTCATGGACCTACAAGACCTTTCAATCTGCACCTGTGTCCGATTCAGTCTGGTTGAGTCTCCTGTTGGCCACCAAAATCTCTGCCGTCAGGTTATGGGCAGACTTGGTTCTGTATTTACTTAGTGGACATTGGACAAGGGATTAATTACCTCACGATGTCTTTTGCTGCAGGTTCTGACTGAGCCGAAGAATGCTCTGGGGAAGCAATATAAGAAGATGTTCGCAATGAACAATGTGAGTGTCTGACGCACCTGGGGGTTCCGCAATCTTAATCGATGAATAAACGTGAGATAAGAATATAGCCATGATTTGATGAGTAAGGCAAGGCATTTCTGCTCTCTGAGGTGAACGTGCCATTGGTGCTTTGGTTGTAATTAGCAAGCATGGCATGCATCTGACCATTTTCATGATGAAGTTCATGCTTTCGAGTTGCACTAGTGGGGCCTGCCCCTGAGCTGAAACTGTTGTCTAACGAGAGGGAGTGAAACGAAGTGCATCATTTTTTAAATGACGTCCACCGCTTGTGCACTGTGAGAAAAATGTGTGGATTCAAAGAAGGTCCTCTTCGTAAAGAGGGATGACCAGTCGCTTATGCTTCTGCGGGGTTCTGATATGTTGTGACTGCCTTGTTCCACGATTCCTATTCATCAGAATTGCTCGTTCCATCATCCTCTTTTGCCTTATTTGGAGTCTTCACGATTTGCACTCCATGCTGCTTGTTTCCAAGAACACAGGATGTGTCTGCTCTGTATAATGATTAACCTACCACCTTTTCGGTTTGGGCTCAGGTTGTGTGGGGTGGTCAGGCTGGAGGGACTCCCCTTATGGCCATATGCTAGGAATGGGTGCAGCTTGTGATCCAAGGGTCTAGCAACTGTAGTTCTGATGGCAAGAATTTGCAAAGGGTCTCTGGTAATTTTCTACTGGAATTCTAGTATTTGTACGCAGGAATTGTGAATCCAGAAATGTTGGAAGTTTTGAATGTCACTTAGTTCTGCACACACCTGAAAATGTCACATAAATGATACATCGCGATTTTAAAAATTTGAGAAGCTGTAGTGGTTTAATGCTCACTGAATGCTGAACTGTGCTTTTGCTTGTCATGCATCAAAGTTAGCGTTCATGGTGGGTGTTGTGATCCTGCCCAACTCACAGTGCAATGAGACAATGCGAGATTTTGCAATTTGAGATGTGAAAATAGAATAGAAAAGGAAAGATAAAGAAGACATGAACCGGATTGAACCAGTTTCATCTACTCATCTTGCCAACCATGATCTGACTCACATTATGACCAAATACTTACGGTAGGAAATGCACAAATGAACACGAAACAATGTTATTAAGCGCCCTCGCTGTCCGCACTCAGAAAGCTCTCCATCAGGGCTCACTCTCCCTCTACTTCAGGTTGCCTTTCTAGCCATGTAGGTGACAGCGGAACTAGTACTGTGGTTCTCTCATCTCATTTCACCATACCCACACCCCCGGATGAAGTTTATGTCCAACTGGTACCCCATGGAGAGCCTTTTGAGGCTCTGCCTAACTCTCCCTCAGGGTGGAGCAGTCCTATGGGAAGTTCCTGCCCTCCGGTGGGAACGTCACTGGAGCCTGTAATTCACGTGCAGGGCGAGAACCTAACCTGATGTCTACCTACACTGTACCATCGTGAGCCGTTCGGGAGCCATCAGATCTTTCTAAGCCCACCAGAACTTCCCAAACCTAAGCTTAAACATCCTACCGGGTGCCTGCCAAATTCTACTCTTGTTCTTGTACGCTGTAGACTTCCTTTTAAACCACCAGTATTTCTGAGCCTGCTTTTCCTGGTGTGGTTTTCTGCTGTATGGCAGTGCATGCTGAAATATTTGACGTGGGAGAGAAATCGGATCTTATTGGCTGGTACTGACAGCCTCTTTGTTTCGGTAGGCTGAGGCCCGACTGATGCGGCGTGGTAATGGCTGCGTCGGAACACAATAGCTGGGAAAAGTACTGGTGGTTTCATGTCTGTCTGGCATACAATTTCAGGCCTACCCCTGTCGCTATCTGTATTTACTGTCCTGCTATTTCTGGAATACAGAAAAGCAAAGCGCACAGCCACGACGAACATCACTCTATGGTCATAAAGGCAGTACAGCAAAACATGCAAACTTGGAAATCCTCAGAGCCAAAGACAGACTTTCAGCAAATCAGTCTGACAGAGCAGTGTTTGGAAAACTGAGGTATCTCAGACTGCAACTGTGTGGGGCACTGTGGGCGAGGGTCATTGATGTGGGAGATGCAGGGGGCTTGTTTCGGGGTGGATTGAATACCGTTGCATAGATGAAGCAGTGTAGGAATTGCGGGCTGCAATTGTCCTCTTTGCTCTCTCCTGTTCAGGTTGATTGCCCTTCTAAACAACCCAATGGAACACTTGGCGGGAATCCGACCCCCTCCGCGATTGCCTGCATCTGGAAGCCAACACCCTCACACCTCAGGAGTTTGATCCTTCTGCGATTTTGCCCCAAAGGCAATCGTATAATTTTATGCAACCAACCCTCTGGGAGGTCCTGTCATTGCTTGTTCACTTGAGATATTAAAGAGCGTGCTGACGGTACACTTTTCAGAACCTAGCTTCAGGCGGAGGGGGTTGTGTAGTATTCTGACTTCTGCCTTGCTGATGTATCTCTGCTGTGATTGCCACCCGTTTTATTGCACTCATGGAGCCAGGTAAAATTACACATGACAGATGGAGCACTTAGGGCGATTGCACAGAAGGCGATGGCGAAGAACACAGGTGCACGTGGGCTGCGCGCCATCATGGAAAATCTTCTCACAGACTCTATGTATGAGGTATTAAAGGCAAATCCATTGTTCTTTTTTTGTTATGTGTGAAACAGTTTTCACCTTTGGCAGTAGCTGATGCAGATCCCAGGGGTCGATGCCTTGACCTCAGCTTACCTGTGTACAGTATCTGCAC